GAGCTGCTGCTGCTGAAGGTCTGCCTCACAGATGAAAAAAAGCACTGTCTTCTACTGGGTGCACTTGGAGGAGGCCGAGGAACTGCCAGGTTACCCTCACCAGGAGTTGCTTCTGGTCTCAGTGTTGGAGGGACATTCAGGGACAGTTTGTGAGGTACCAAATGGGGGAAGTCCAAAAGCATAAGGCTCTAAGCAGGCAACCGTACAACTGCCAGGCTGACTGATTTTATGCAGATTGAAATTAGAAGCTGAGATAAAGTCTGAGTTAGAGTCTGAGAGCACACAAGCGATGAGTGGGCCTTTAGGACAGCATTTAGCAAATGTTTGTAGCACTTCACAGTGCTCTGTTCTCTGCAAAACAGCTGCACGTTGTGGGACTCCACGATGAATTCAGCAGTTTGTTGGTTTTAAAGACCTGATCTCCTACAGCCAAACAAGCTGGTGGATTCTGAACTGCTATCAAAGATTTTAGCTGAACTGAGCTTAATTAACTTCTCCCTGCTAAGAAATCCAAAGAGGATACAGAGGCTAAACTCTCTTCTTCCCTCAAAACCCTGTTCCACTACGTCAGAGTTTAAATGTTTTGTCAGGACACGGCAGAGTGTTCCAGGGAAACTTCATCAGGTGTTGACCAGGCTGCTTTCTGGGACATGCCTTACTTCAGCCTGCTGTTTTCAACACCACCATATTCATTTCAGAAAAATGTATTTATCCCAATGGAATAATGTCAACAGCCATTTTGTTCTTCCACTGCAGAGCCCCCACTAAAACTCCCACGGACACTAGAAATAGCACCGGTATCTATTTTTAAATCATTTCTTTGCCAGCAGAATTCATTTCATTGAAGGGTCAACAGGGTTTGGAGATCACACTGAAACCAAACCATATAAGGGGTCCAATAAGATGAGAAATCTCTTCATTCAGTGACAGCCCTGAAGCCTCTCTTGGCTCTTCCCGCAGATGTCCTGACTGTCAATGTCCCACTGAACCTCTCCTGAAGCTGTTCATGGCAGCAGAAACTCCCACAGCAATGCAGTAGCAGTGTTATCCATCATGCCCTGGCCTAACTCTTATCCCACTATTTTTGTTTTGTGTAAATCATTTTTACTGTTTCTTGCTGAAACAAAACCTGTCTCCAGCCTACCTTGCCTACCACAGTTTTGACACCAGTGTTCCCATTTAAGTCAGATGACACATGGGTAGAGGCAACGTGGACAAGCCATCAGGTGCTCAGAACTGCCCCATGTCATTGCTCACCACTGGTTATGCACCAAAGGACACTCATGGCAGACTGCAACCTTCTAAGTACAGTGAAAAGCTGACCTGATGTCTCCTGGAGGTGTTCTTTTCCACGGACAAGTATTATTTACTTTCTAATCTCTGGTCTGCACCTTGGAAAGGGCAACTCTATATTACTGTAGGTCCACAGTAAATCAAATTCTAGCCTTTGTATGATTATACTACATACAACAAAATGGGATCCCACCCATATGAAACCTCTGAATGTTCTTGGAATATAAATGAATATGATAAGAATGACAAATAATAACAAAAGCTCTTTTTCAAGGGCTTATCTGATCGCAAAAACAACTCAGAAAAATGGAGGTAAAGATTTCTACCAGAAAGAAAATATTCTATTTCAAAGGTGAGATAAAAATCTGCTATCAGATATTGGAACAATGTATGAACCGGGCTGCTCTACAGCAGCTTGCCACTCTCAATTTGCTTACAGCTGACATGTTTAGAGGATGTATGAAGAACTCTGCGCTGTTTCAGATGGTAGGGCTCACCCTTTCTTTTTCTCACCCTCCCTACATGCATATGCCTGATGGCAAACCCCCCCCCCCAACCCTGACAGGCACAGGGATGGAATTTGGGAAAGAGCAGAAGTTTTGAATTACACAGATCATTGTGTAAAGCACAGGAAATTAAAACCAATTAATTCCTTGTAAATACAAATGGAGCCAGACTTTCTTTTGATTTATGCTGACTTTTTACCTTCCCCCAATTGCTCATTTCCCTATTTTGCCATTGGAATCCCGCACAGTCGAGGGTGAAATTTGCGGCTACTACACTGTAATACAATACGAAAGACAAATGTTTGGTGACTGCTGATAAAAGAGAAAAGGCCCCATGGTGCATTCTTTTAGCCAGCTTATTAGGAGTCTTATAAAACACTGTATCTGTTCAGAGGGAGGAAGTTAATGGCTGCTCAGGTTTGAGATTGTGTAAGCAAAGTAGTCTAAGAGATGAACTAACTTCTAATGTGCTCTCAAAGTTGCAGTTACTCCCCAGATAATCCAGGTAGGAGGAGAAAATAGAGAGGAGAGCAAGAGAGACTTTTTTTTTCCTCTCTTTTTCCTTCCACTGTAATGAAAATCAATGAATATTCTAGACGAACTGAAAGAGCTTCTTGAAAGGCTAACAAGATGGAAGGGAATAGCACAGGTTCCAGCTAAAAATATTCAAAATGCTAAATAAAAAATGTCAGTAGAAGAAATGATAAGAAAAAAAAAAGCCAGCCCTCTGCTCCCAGAATGTTAAGTTGGTAGAAAAAACTCTGCAGTGGTGAAGTCCAGCAGCAAGGTGAAACTATCGAGCATCCTTCACAATTTAGGGCTTGGAAATGAACAAATTCACTGGAAATTTGCACAAACTGTCAGAGATCTCTGGGTGCTTTAGCCCACACTGTCACTGCCATACACAGGCCGGTCTCTTATACCAAGGGATGTGGTATTTCCCCTGGGGTGGGCTTTCTCCCACAGCCATTCAGGGAAACTCACTCTGCAAAATAAACAGTGCTTCAAGTTGTCAGAAGAAATTCTCCAGAAGAAAAGGATTCCTGAGAGGCAGAAGCAAGGGCAAACAGGGCTGCCAGCCCAGCTGCTTAAGGCCAAGGTTTAGCTTGCCCTGCAGATTTGTGGGGGTTTACACTGTTTTACCTCAGGTAATGTGACCAAACTCCTACCTCATCACTTCACCTGGAATCCCTTTATACTTTCACTGAGACCTAGCACTTCGGATCATAGGATAATTCAGGGTGGAGGGGGATCTCAGGAGGTCTCCCAGGCCTTACTAAAGAACTGAGTCTAACCAAAGATCCATCTACCTTAGTACCATAACCCTTGCTGGAGCGAACAGAAAATGCTTGGAAGACAAACTAAGAAAAAGGCAAGTTCAGAGGGTGCTTTTTCCCTATTTTGGTTTGACAGATTCAGGAGAGATGCTGAGATGCTGTTCATGCCACATCCCAGTGTTTTCACTGGACCTTAATTCTTCCTGTTTAGAGAAGTTCTGCTGGCCTCAGACATTTCCCCCTTTTTGATAAGCATCATCTTGACATGTTGGAACCACAGGACATCAGATGTGAAGAATGGATGTATTACAGAAGTCCGCTTGAGCATGGAGCTAGCACTAAGCAAGAAAGAGAGCAACTGAGCCTAACAAAACACTGCATAAAGTAAACTGAAATTTCATGAAAAGGAAAGAAAAGAAAAATAACAATTTCCACAGCTGTGGCCTAAGGGGTCTCTTCTCTCTTTGGATCTTTTGTAAAACATTTCTGGTGCCAGTCTTTGAAAACCATGAAGCAAAGCTTACTGGTTCTATTCCAGATGACTTGTGAAGAAGAGAGACTTTTAATCATATCTGAAAGCTGCTTCAGGGCTCTGTATTTTATATAATATATAGTTTATTATAAGGCAGATCGGTTATTTCGACAGTCTCACTATTTATGCTCAACTATAGCTTCGGCAGAACTTTTTGCAAGAGTTTGCAGTGTGAGCCCCTGGCCAAATTCCAGCTCCCATGTGGAATTTGTCAGATTGCAAGTGCAGTGCATACTTGCTCTCCTTTAACTTCTCTCCTTCTCAAAGTACCATCCATTTCATCCTAGCCTGAGAAAGTATCTTACTAACAGCTTGGTATTGAAGCAATAATCTCTCAGATTTACTGCAAGCAGTGCTCATGTTCAGAACGTTTTCTAGAGCAAGTCCTCCCACAGTGTCCCATCCCTGTATTACACCTGGTAACATTTATAAAGGGTACCTCATAACTTGAAAATCCTGACCTAACAGACTGAAAAATAATTCCAGGTCACTGTGGTTATCAATGCACTTTCATTCAAGTCTGCTGGGTGGATAGATCACCAAAAATAACAGAATAAATAGGGAAAAGAATACCCTTCAGACACAATTTAATTGTAGGTCTCTGGCGGCTAATGCAGGAACAGGAATGTGTCTGTAGGCCAGACTCTGGCATTCTACTCAGAAACATCTTTTCTTGTCTTCAAATAGATTCAGTTCACCACTTCAGGAAAATTGTTTTGTTTTTTTTTTTTTCTGGAGTGCAAAGCTACTGAAAATATAGCAAGAAACAGATTACTTTTTTTGTGGATAGATTGGACTCATGCCTCAAAGTATTTTTCTGCTAACTATAAATGCCTCAAGGACTTATACATCATTAGATCAGTTAATCCATTCAGTGATCTAGTAAATATGCACCAAGGCACACGTCATGAAAATAAATATTGGCATAGTTGAAATAAGAGAGAACTGGAAGATTGTTCAGTGGTAAAGAGATTGTTATTTCTGAGAAATGGGAATAGGTTTCTTTATTCTTATGCAATTATACTTCCAAGCAGTGCTTGCAGATAGAAAGAGAAGAGCTCACAAACACCTGGACAGAAAACTCTCTTGATTAAACTCTCTTAATCCATTAACTACTTCTATTTATAAACTTTCAATTTATTACTTGAAAATGTAATGATTAGAATACTGAGGGCTAGAGTACCACAGGTCAGCACTGGGATGTGAGAGGTACATCCACTTATTTAATTCACAAGCATCAGTGCCTGTTTGCACATGCAAATGTGGGTCTCATTAAAATTGGCTCATTCCATTATGTCTGCTCTTTGAAATTTGACCATCAAAGTGCAACCAGGCGGCCAAAGAGCTTCCCAGTTATGACTTAATTGTAAACGTGTTTTCTATTCCTCCTAGATGTGCCGTTTGGGTTGCAAACAGACCCACAAGTAACAAGCATTGTGGGGAACGACGTCCGGCTGACCTGCCGGGCCTCCAAGTACATCTACAGTCACCTGGCTTGGTATCACCCGTCTGCAGAGGCAGCTCTCGGTGACTCAGTCATCAAGAAAACTGACAACTATTCAATTTCTTTGACATTGGTCATTACTAATGTCACGAAGGAACAGAGCGGCCTCTACAAGTGCAGAGCCCAGAACCAGCACAACAGCACCGACACCCTAGAACAGCACACTCGGCTCCTTGTCAGAGGTGGGTCCTGGCAACAGAACATGGCAGTGGGACATGCTGTCATTGTGCTGCCAGAGCAGAAATGCTGTGCATCTGCTGCTCCCTTTGAAGCCTTTCAAAGCAGAGGTGCCCAGCACTGCTTAGGGAATGTCCTAATACAGACTTTGTGCTCTGGTTTGTGGGTTTTTTGGGTTTTTTGTCTTTTTGCATTACTGTATGTGGATTGACACCTAAACGTACATATTACTCAGCCAGCCACTGCTGGGTTTGTATAAAATATTTGCCTTACACATAAAGGTGATTTCAGCTGCATTTTATCTTGTTAACTCCATGCTGGGTGCAGATATAGTGTTGACTGAGGAGAAAAGGCATCATCTACCATGTCACTAACAGCACAACTCTATCATTTGAGATTGTCACCCCAGGTATATATGACTTTGGTAGTAGACTCCACCTACTTACAGCTGCCATGATGATATAGATATCTAAATAGATTTGGACCCAGCAGATATAACCACAAATGTCACTGGTCAAGTGTATGTGACATGTACCATTTATTCTGAGTAAGTGGGATGCACTTTACTGTAATGACAGTATTTTCTTCCTTATACCCAACCCCCCGACTCTTTTCTGTTTATCAAACTAGTAACACTACAGATCCTGCAGCCTGGTTTCTTTGGCTATGTGAATGTAAAGGGCAGGACACTTCTTCCAGTAGAAACTCCCCGAAAATTAGTGAAAAGTTTCCTCTGCTTCATAGCGAAGAAAGTGAGTGATCAGCTCTAAGCCTTCTCAGAAGAAAAACTGCAGCTGGAACGGATGAATTTATTAGCTATCTTCCAATGGTGAAGAAAACCCAAAGCACAGAAATGGAGTAGAACTGCAGTAAACAGCAGCAAGCCAGAGTGCATAAGACAGAGTCCTTCCGAAGCTGAATTGCTGAATTACAGAATCACAGACTGGTGGGGTTGGAAGGGACCTCAGGAGATCAGCCAGTCCAACCCCCCTGCCAAAGCAGGTTCCCTACAGCAGGTTGCACAGGAAAGTGTCCAGGCGGGTTTGAACATCTCCACACCCTCTCTTGGCAGCCTGTCCCAGGGCTCCGTCACCCTGAAGTCACCACATCACAGTGAAGAAGTTTTTCCTTAAGTTTGTAATTAGACAGTGATTTTCAAATTGGCTTCTCCACTTCCATTAATGGCTAATGAGACACTGAATGGACAGCCATGCTGTCATAAGCACTTGTCACTCAGGTAAAAACCTGGTCATACAGTGCTGGCTTCATCCTTGTTTAAGTGAACGAGCATGTTTCCCATGTGGTCTCCTACCCCATGCAGCCAACACCACCTCCGCAATCCCTTCCCCCCCCACGCAGGCACACACACAAGGAGAAAATGCTCACCCGTGCCACAGCTGTGGCTAGCACAGCTCTCATACCTGAGTGGGAGGTGACTTATTTTAAGAAATGTCATGAGCACCTGCTTCTTCCTGGAGCATGGAGGAAGGGAAAGAATCTCACCCTGACATTAGAGAGGGCTAGTGGTTTGGCTTGTCCCTACAGCCGGTACCGGAGCCACCTGTCAGCGTCGTCTGATGGGGAGACACTGGGCTTTCTCTGCACTCTGCATTCAGGAAATTCACTTTTTTTCTCTCCTGGCAGATATTTTTACTCATTTAGTCAAATTTCCACCTACACAGACACCTACACATGATAGCTATGGGAAAAACACAGCTAAACTGGGAACACATCCATGGAAGAACTGGAACCTTGATCACATTCTTCTGAGAATTACTGGGGTCTGTTATTTGTCTGGCACTTGTCAGAGAGGCAATTCTGGAGAACATGAGTGGAAATTCCCCTCCAAACCAGCCCTCCTTCCCCTACACAAACAACGTTTTTTAAATGTATAACACCCATCAGCTACTCTCCTTATTGCAGGTTTTATTTCTTTTTTATGCTGTGCTTGTGATTTTATTTATCTTGCTTTCCTGTACTTTTTATAGATGAGCATAAAGTGGAGGTTAACATGCTTTGTAGTAACTAGATAACTGCACTCAGGATGGAGGACACAATCTTTAGAACAGGTTCCTCTTTGCCTCCTCCTTTCTTTTTTTGCATTCACTCTGCATTTGCTCTACCCACTCACCATCCTCTGTTTTCTTCAGAGGATGAGAAACTCAAGGAGGTTTGAGCTGAAGATGAATCTAAGCTTAGTCAGTTTAAAAACAGGCCAAATGAACTCACCCACTCCTCCAATAATCTTTTGGGGGATTTTTGCTACCACTCATCAACCAAATCTTTGCCACTTCCAGCCCAGAGAGGCCATGCAGCTGGCCAAAGGAGAGAAGATGGCAGAGCTGTGGGAGGTGTCTTCTCAAATCTTACTGTGTACTGTTTTCCTTTCTGACCATAGCAAAGACAGCACCGTACGTGATACAAAACCTCACGGATCTGGAGGTTAACATCAGTGGCAAGATCATCCTGGAGTGCAAAGTCAGCGGAACACCAGAACCTCAGATTACGTGGAAGAAGAACGGTTACCCCATTTCAGCAGCATCAGGTGAGCGCACTTGCTTCCCAAGAGTGCTGTGGTACTGTACATAACACAGGGTAAGGGACTTGCAGGTTCACCACAAACACAGGACCTTCAACTCCATGGCTACTGCAAGCATGGCTGAGCCAGGATGGTCTACACAACCTCAGAAAACACACACACAAATCCAAATACACCAGAGCACTGCAGTCATCTCCAACTTGGACTTTGAGATCAAAGCTGCCAACCGGTTGCAAGCCAGTGCCTGCTTATGCAGCTTGCCTTACGTGTGTGGCAGCGTCCGTGTCTGCAGAGTCGGCCAGACAGTCTGCATACATTAGCATAGTATTAGTAAATCGAGGAGTACAGCGTGATGCCATTCAGTCTGCTTCTGCAAGACAACAGTTTGTATACAAAAGTGAGACAGAGTGTTCCTGCTTGTCAGGTGGGTCTGAAAATACAAGCCTGAACCATCAGATATCCTTGGGGCCTGATGAGAATAAATGGCAGCAAATAGTGGGCAGTCACCTAACAGTCAGGTCCAGGGCACGTCACAGCAAAGTACACGTCCTTTCTTTATCTCCCATAACACAGGAATGAGAATGTGCTCTCAGCTCAACAGGTACAGAGCAGTACAGGTACAGTGCTACCACAAGCAGGGAGCATGGGCTCCCTTACCTGAGCCTGGAATTCCTTCTCAGCTCTCTGTCCTGAGATCTCCTATAAATCATAGAGAATCCCATGTCAGTAGCTGGTCCTGTGACTTTAATTGTGCATGTTGGACTAGGTAGGAACTCTAGGATCATCCATAATTCAGATCAGACTGTTCTGAGAGAAACTCTTTATAGCTACTGAAATTTTATAAATAATTCTAGAGGGACAAGCATGTAACTCATCCAACCAGTGGAAACATAAATAAAATATTGGGAAAAAAACCACCTCGGGGTAAATATTTCAGCACAGTGCATGGCAAGTTATGTGCCATGCACTCTTGTTAACAACAACAGGATTCATAGGCAGAACACCCAGAAACTCCAAGTGTCCTTCCCTTTTGGATTCAAAGTCTGACCTGTTTCCCTATTTCTGCCCCAAACATAACCTTAGTGAAACAGATGAGCTCTCAGTTTTGTGCTACAAATCAGGAAAAATTAAATGCAGAAAATTAATCAGGAAAATTAAATGTAGAAAAGCCTCACACAGGTCATATCTAGGCAACCTCCCTCTTCCCACTCCACCTCTAGCCCCCAGCTGCCTGTCAACCCAGGACTGCTCCACGCAGTGATTTTCCCAGGGATGTGCATAACCTGATTTCCACACATAAGAACTCCCATCACTTCCCACAGCCTCCAAAGCACTGGCTTTCTGCAATAATGTCACTGAGTTCCCCTTTTTTATTGCTATCAGAAAACCTATCTTCCCACCACTTCACTAACTTCCATAGTAGTTTCCTCAGGCTCTGTCTGCTCATAATATATTAGCAACCACATTTGCTGTTGGTTAAATGATCCCCAAGCAATTTACACAGGTATTGAGAAGAGCTCAAGTCAGGGAATGTTGTATTAAAATACCTCCTAGCACCAGTGTGTACCAAGCCTGCGTGGATGGGAGCTGACTTTCACTTCTCTGTCTCCTAAAAGCACTTGTAGGCAGGTAGGTTGTTGTGGTAATATTAACCAAAATCTCTTACAACAGGAATCTCCATGGAAAATAATACCCTGGTCATTGAGCGAGTGAAGAAGGATGATGAAGGGCTCTATGAATGCAAGGCATCTAACGACATGGGCCAAGATAGCACATCAGCCTTCATCAAAATACAAGGTGAGTTCCACGCTAAAGCGAAACACATATAATGTGCTGGACTGAGGAGAACTATTGCTCGGTCATGGACTTTGGCTACAGTTAAAATTTGGTTGTACATTTAACCTACAGGTTCTGAGGAGAAATCCAACATTGAAGTTATCATTTTGGTCTGCACTGGCCTAGCTGCTACCCTCTTCTGGCTGCTTCTGACCCTATTCATTCGGAAGCTGAGAAAAGTAAGAGAACTGCCATATTGCACAAAAGCTCTGGGATTGGGCTCAGTTTATAAATAGCATCAGAATTTAGAGCCAAATGGTAAAATTGTGCAAAATGTGCCTATAAAATTTCAATCCAGGATTTGTGCTGATAGTCCTTCGACTTCTCAAGAGATCATTGGCACTTGTGAAATTTCTACCTGCTTCCATGGTATCGTAAAATCAGGCCACTCCCTCTTTATGAGTCAAACTGGCTTGCAAGGTTAAGATACAAAAAAAACCCCAAATCCCCTAAAATGAGGGCTTGATTTCAGCACTTGTCCAACAAGATTTCTCTGAAACATAGGTACTAAAGGCACCCTGTTTTAAGAAGGGATGTTTGCTCTAGAAATGAGCTCAAACAACACAGCTTATTTTGTCTCCAAGTCTTGCTATTCTCTCTTCTCCCTTTTGTGACTCAAAAATGTAAAGTTTCAGTAAAGTTCCTAGGAATTTAGGTCTTTTTTTCCTAAAAGAAAGAGTAAACAGAAAGGCAACAAAGGCAACCACAGCTTTCTGCTCTGAAGCTCAGCAAACTACAGTTCCAGTGCTGATCCCTAATACTTGAGTAAAATTTATCCTCCTTTTGCAAACGCAGTGAATAAAATAATGTTTTCCTCCTTGACCTCAGTTTAACAAAGTTGTGGACAACAGTGAATTCCCTGTTACATTTTACACCCAGGCAAGTCTGCTCACAGGACACACCAAATCACAGTTTCTCACTGAGCAGCATTAGAAGTAGCAGTTTTCACCAGCTTTCAATTTTAACCTGTAATAAGCAATAGCCATTAAATGGATAACTTTGGAGAATCTAACCTGCAAAACAACAAAACACTATGAAAATACCAAAACACTCCAAGGTGCACCTGGAAGTGCAGCTCACGGAGTTCCCACAGAGCAGCACTGATTTCCTTTAATAGATACAGGTAGAAGACAGTGATAGATTTTGTGTCCTCAGAGTGTTTACCAGCATTAATCAGCGACTCTTCCCAACACCCATGAGTGGCAGGCATACATAAACATTTATTTCCCAGATATAAAAAAGAGAGGCAGGAAGCTGAAGTGATGCATTCATGGTTCAGAATAAATTTCAGAGCTAAGTCTGGAATTCAGGCAACTCCCCAGCCAGCACTCAGTCTTCTAGACGACAGCTCTCCCATTAGAACTGCAGGGTAAATACTGTGAATAATTTCTCCACACCCTGTTTTTAGCCTGATGCCACAGATATTAAAACAGGATACCTGTCAATTATAATGGATCCAGAGGAAATGCCTCTTGATGAGCAGTGTGACCGTCTTCCCTATGACAGCAGTAAATGGGAGTTCCCGAGAGACAGACTGCGGCTGGGTAAGTGCTCTGGGTATCATTACTGTACAGAATGATGATTTCTAACACTTCTCGATTTCAGTGGATCTGTTGTATAGCCCAAGAAGCAGCCTGTCATTTAGTGCCAGTGTGCTACCATGCTTGAGGAAAATTGGCAGCGAGTCACACAATTCAGGGTCATCCTTAATGAGGGGGGGTGAAACAAGGGATTTGGTAAGAAAAGCACAGATGATGTCTCTCTCAAAATAGCTACCATGCCTTCTTTCTTGGAGAAGTGAAGCCAAACTCTTGACAGGGAAGAAAGGAACCTCCAGGTACTGTCCACTGCCAACAGTATGGTTTCACACTCCTAGAGGAAAAGGGAAAGCAAAGTCAATCTGCAAGGTGACAGTGTTTCAGTGAATTTTATTTTGAAGAAATCTGTAAGTTTATCGAACAATCAATTCCTTATCAATCATTTGAACTTTGCTCTGACTTGTAAAAAGCTATCATGAAAAAATGAACCAAATTTCATTCAACAGCTCAGCTTACTGGATGATGGAGCAAGAAAATGTAAAAAGCAGGTTGTGTTTGTATAGAGAAACTGTAACATCTGTGTGCAATGATGAGTGGAGGGAATACGTCTGTATTTGTGTGTCCTCTTGGTGCTTTAGCTGGAAAACATGGAAGAAGGAGGAAGGCACACAAAAATAACAAAAAAACAAGACGACTGTGAGACATAGAGTCAAACTAGCAGAACCAAAAAGTCAGATCGTGATGCCCAGCGTATTCTGATGCATTGTGGATAACACAGGCAGGAAAATTCTAATGAAAGGGAAAATAAAGATTATAATCTTAAATTCCATTTAGTCTAGCTTTTATGTCAAATACATGTCAATAACTGAAGGGTTAAAGGGTTCTGACTGCCCGAGTGCCTTAGCTGGCTATCTCCATGACTGTGATTCATGAGAGATCAGGGTTCCACAGTTCTACGTTTAACCCAAACTCTGACTTTCCCGGGCATCAGGACAAACTTTACGTAATGTTTTTACCCTTAAGCCATATGTGTGTATTCAGCCTTGCCTCCAGCTGAATGCAGATTTACTTATTCTACTCTGTTCTATCACATACTGTATTGCATTAAAGTCATATGGATATAAATCATCCTTTTTATATCCATATACTGCAAATATGTGATACAGCCTTCTATTGACTATCGGTCTCCGTCTACGTTGTGTCTGGGCATTGGAGCCTTGTTATTTCTTGCACAGCTGAGAACGCATGTTTCCCTCTTATCTGATGCAGACTGTTAAGTCCCCTTTGGCTCACTCTTGACTCTTGCTTCTCTAGGTAAAACACTGGGTCATGGTGCTTTTGGGAAGGTGGTGGAAGCGTCTGCTTTTGGCATTGATAAATCTTCAACCTGCAAAACAGTTGCCGTAAAAATGCTTAAAGGTACATATCCCTCTGAGATTCTCACAAGACTCCTCAGGGAACCTGTGGGCAATGAGGTTTCCAGTTCTCAACTCCAAACCAGTCCCAAGTTCATTGTGTTCAGAAGGGAGTGGGTTTGTCATATGGGAGCAATTAGTCATTATACAGTGGATGTTAACGTGTAGGAAATGACAAGCGGGCTCCATGCTGTGCTGCTGATTAAGTCTTGTATTCCTAGAGGAGGAAGACAGCAGCTTCCAGGTCTGTGGGGTTAGGAGGGAAACAGATTACAGAATGTAATTACATTAGATAGTCTGAAATTGGATCTAAGCCTTCGATCACAGCCCTTCCAGATGTAGAACAGTTCAAGGGGTTGAAAAAAAAGCGATGCCAAGGGAGTGAATTAGAGACAACTTGCTTGCAATTACTGAAATTAAGGAAAGCTTTTACCATGCAGTGGTGGGGAATGGGGAACTTGGAGACTATTATTTCAGATCGTATTTACATACAAAGCCTCTGCAGACAGCTTATGAATAAATGCATCAGCAAGTACATTGACTACTTGGGCTGGAGGTTTTTGACTGTTCAGTTAGGATTTTTTCCAAGGTACAATCGATGCTCACTGGATGGCTTCTCATAGCCCACTGCTCTGCACTGCTGCGGCACAACAGTATTAACCCCTACGATGCCATAGTTCAGGAGCTTCTGTCACAGTACTTGGCTTCTGTTGCTAGCTGCCACTCCTGATGCTCTGCTACTTCCCATTTCTCTGAAATTTCAAAACCATCATTTTGTCACCTGTCTGGACCTCCTCCGAACCTGGTCTCCCTTCTCTGCATTAGTCAGTAGATCTTCAGATCTTCTCTCCTGCTGTTGTTTCTTCTGTTCCATGCCCATCTCCAGATCCCTGCAATAGCCTAGAAGCCCCTGATCCAGACACACTCCCTTTTCCATCCAAAACTGACTGCCCTGGATAGCTCTGGGTGTTCATTCACTTCCACGCTGTGCTTCCCAACTGATCCTCATGTCAACTCTACCCTGCCTGCACATATTCAGCAAACTATTTGACAGTTCCTCCATCATTTTACACCTTCCTCCCCTAGTGAGGCAGCAGCCTCCTGCTCTAACCTGTCCCTCCCCAACTAACATGCCCATAATTTATCACTCATACTAATGAGTCAATCCATTCAGGAAAAAAAAAAAAAAGGTTCTGGAGATGTCTGTATTTCTGTAATTCTAGCATTATCTGTTATTTCCATGAAGTAGGCTGGTGTCAGTTCTGGGTTGAAGGCTAAAACTGAATGTACAAGATTATCTGAAACACTTCTGAGGCTGTTCTGTTTAGATTTTGCCAGGCAGGTGTTCCAGCTCATGCCAGGGTAAATCAGGTGTAATACCACCCATGTACACACCCATCTACAAACACTGACAACCAAAGAAATGTTGGGCTTGGAATAGCTCCTTCTTTATGACACAATTTGGTGAAAGATTTGTTTATGGAGAATTCTACCAACAGATAAAGAGGTTGCGTTTGTCACACCAAATGACCCGTTATGTAACTGTTTCTTCATATGTAAATCTTACATGATGCAAAGGCAAAAACAGAGGAAACGGGACACAGCCCATTTTGTTAAAATACATCATGAAAGTTTTGGAAAGAAGGCAGAAGAACCAAGTCAGCATCTGAACAACGCTCTGGTCTGAGGGCGCCTTCCTTAGCTCTGGCAGCAAAAGAGAATGAAACTCTAGTATAACTGGCTAACCAGTGCTTCATCAAGTGTCACCATCATGGTTCACACACAAACATGGCCCACTTTGCTGGAAAATGTATTTCTTGGGTGGATGAGACCTCACAGGGGTGAGATTTAATAATGCTGTACATTCTTCAGTACATTTTTGGACCCAACTTACAGATGTGTTGGATTCGTCCATCACCTGCAGTGGACAGTTGCTCACTACTGTGGAAAAATATGTTCTGAGGTACCGTAAAGAGGTGCTACTAAACTGCACAGCATCATTACAGACAGAGGAACACCTTCTTCTCTGTATTATTGTTGCCTAGAGTGGTTGGTTGTTCCTCTGCTAAGCTTGCAAAATTGAGTTCTTGGAAAGGCTCTCTGGTATCTGATCTGGGGGGAGGGTGGAACAGCAACCCTCCATAACCCATGCTAGAGAAAGGAAGAGTTACCCCAACAATAAAGTGTTATTCTACTTCATAAAGGTCAGCAGACAATGAAACGGATGAATTATTATCTGTTTAAGAGTCTGAAAAGCAAAGATACTACAAGTAACCTGGGTGGGCTTTGTTTCCAAGTATAAACAGGATCTTGCTGCGTCCTGTTAAAAATATCCTGTTGTGTAAAGATGATTTTTTTCCTGTTTATCTTAAGCAGAATGTGCAACTACTAATGAATGCAAGGCTTTAATGTCTGAACTGAAGATCCTCATCCATATAGGACATCATCTGAATGTAGTCAACCTGCTGGGAGCCTGCACCAAAGCTGGAGGTGAGAAGTCATCAGTAAATAAGGAGCAAAGAAACACTTTTCAGATACAATGGTGGTTGGATGTATCTGTGGTGGAGTCCAAGTCTCACACATGCAGTTAATGCAAGTGCAAACATTTCTACTTCTCTGCTCATAGAGAGCTTCTGCTACTGCAGAATATGGCCACATCTCATCAATGTTTTGAACATCTTCTCTCAGCCAGCGGTGTCACTTCTCTATTTTCTTTTTCTCTATCCTTTGTAAGCTTGTTTACAAAAGAGACTAGGGACTGATGGGAGGTGGGATCCTTAACTGCAGTCAGGTGCCCAGTTCCTCCACATAGGCACTGATGATAATTTCAAAACTTCTTCTCCCCCTTCTTCCCTGCCTTATCAGGAGGATGCACAAGGCTGAGCACTCAGCTACTTGAGGCCTCCTCCTTTCCCAAGCACTTCACTCTTGCCAGGCGTGGGTTGCATAGTATACAGGAAGTCTGAGGCAGTCCAAAGCTGGATGGAGCAACAACATGGACTTCCAAAGGGCTGAGCTGACACAACTGGCTGTACACAAAGAATCTGTTGCAAAGTGCTGACTTAGACAAAGGACTCCATAAATCTTAGACCTTTGTCACTAAAACATCCCTTCCCATACTGCCACACAAAGCATCCTTGTCTTGTTACTTTACTGTGCTTTAACTCTCAAAGATGCCTCTTTACTGCTTACAATGAACCTTCAAAACAACCCCAAAGGACAGATTTAAGAGAGCTGAGGATAAAAATCCAAAGTAAAATAAATGAAGGGGAAAGAGAGCACACACATCTGTTGTCATCTGAGACTCTGAAGCTATCATCTTCCAAAGAACATGTAGTTGTCCAGTCATGGGGGAAAAGAGAAAACTTCAGTGCGCAGATCTGGTAGGATGCCAAGAAATAAATCTTCCCTCCAGCAAGATACTGCCAGTTCCTCAAAGAGCAGTCAGCCACCAGCAACCACAGATACTGCTGTCATCTGGGAGCCATGAATGGGGAACTTCAAGAACTGTTGTAGCACTGCAGACCCCAAAAGCTTGTATGGCAGGATGTCCAGCTTTAGCTGGAGAGTTTTAAGATTCAGATGCATAAGCAAGAAGTCTCTCCTTGGGACTGTGAGTAGCAGAGAAGCAACATTATGAATCCTGGTGACTCTGGAACTTTTTCTCCTGGGAGTCCCTCAGTTTCCTATTCTCCAACCTGATTGCCCTCCTGGGTGAGGAGTGAGGTAACCCTCACTCTTCCCTGCTAGCTGCCTAGGAAAACCACTGATTACTCTGGGGAACAGTGGATAGAGCAGAATCATAGAATAGTTTGGTTGGAAAAGACCATTATGATCATCTAGCCCAACCGTAAACCTGGCGTTGCCCTTGCAGGGCATTGAGGAGCCTCTAGGCAGGCGCTGGTTTGCTCACCTTTGAGCAACACAACTGCAGACTAAAGAAAAATAGCCTTGAGCTCTTAATACAGACACTGGGAGAAGAGTTACTGTTGAAATGCCATTCCAGAACACAGTGCTTCCTTGTTAGATCCTATGCAACCATATAACGGTATTCCTGATGAAGACTGATATTAAGTACACACTTACATTATTTTAACAATATAACAAATAACAAATTTGAACACCTTGGCTGAGTGTCTCATATGAAGAATCACAGAATCACAGAATGTCAGGGATTGGAAGGGACCTCGAAAGATCATCCAGTCCAATCCCCCTGCCGGAGCAGGAACCTAAATGAAATGACACAGGAAGGCGTCCAGGCGGGTCTTGAATGTCTCCAGAGAAGGAGACTCCACCCCCTCCCTGGGCAGCCTGTCCCAGGGCTCTGTCACCCTCACTGTAAAGTAGTTTTTTCTCAAGTTTAAGTGGAACCTCCTGTGTTCCAGCTCACACCCACTGCCCCTTGTCCTACCATTGGGCATCACTGAGAAGAGCCTGGCTCCATCCTCCTGACATTCACCCTTAACATAGTTGTAAACATTAATGAGGTCACCCCTCAGTCTCCTCTTCTCCAAGCTAAAGAGCCCCAGCTCCCTCAGCCTTTCCTCAGCAGGGAGATGCTCCACTCCCTTCATCATCTTGGTGGCTCTGCGCTGGACTCTCTCCAGCAGTTCCCTGTCCTTCCTGAACTGTGGGGCCCAGAACTGGACACAATATTCCAGATGCGGCCTCACCAGGGCAGAGTAGAGGGGGAGGAGAACCTCCCTCGACCTACTAACCACACCCCTTCTAATGCACCCCAGGAAGCCATTGGCCTTCCTGGCCACGAGGGCACAGTGCTGGCTCATGTCAGTTCTGACAGAAGTCAGAACTAATGCATAGTATATGCTTTACAATGAGGAAACAAAATATGGAGAGGCCACGTCTAGCAAGCACTTCAAAAACATGAATAAATCACTAACTGGAACTTTAAAGTTGTACTGGAATCCTCAGGGCATCCATGAGGGACATTTGACTTTAGGTTCTTCAGAACAGTGTCCCCCAGAAATCTCTTGTGCACTTTGTGCACTGCCAGATCCCAGCGCTGCTGCCTTTAGCCCCAGGTGAGCAGTGTTGCATGGACAGCAGTAGAACCGCTGACAGCTCTCATTTTGGGCCAGTTGTGTTTTTGCAGTCACTGGTACGGCGTACTCATGTGCTGAACATGTTACAGCTCTAGTCAAGAGGAATGGGAAGTCCTGAAGAGCCCAAAGGCGTGTATTTAATCTAGCAGTGCTATAGCACTCGTTCAAACAAAGAGCCTGGCAGAAATACACAATGTTATTATCGGCACGTTAATGGTTATTATTGTTAGAATTCACCATCTCCCTTTTAATGAGATGATCTGCTCCCAAACAGTATTCATCACCCAGTCTCAGACAGGATGCAGCAACCAGAATCTCTAAGGTTCACTCTTCCCTCCTTGACCCCTTCCCTCTCCCTTAGAGCCCAGTTCTCAGCCTTTTCAGTCCATATTGTACATGTCAGACTGGCCCAAGGGAGCAGACTGCAGTGCAGGTCTGTACGCACATCTCTGACACAACCAGAGAGAAGGGCTGCTCAGAGCTGCCTCTATGGCCTCATGCAGCTCTCAGCACTTTTCCTTTGAAGTTCAAACTCAAAGTCTGAACTACGGACCTTCTAGACAGAAAAAGGTTTCTGGATATGAAAGTCTGGTTGCTTAGGATTGACAATAATACATGTTTATAGGCAATCTAGCCCACGATTTCACCTCGTCTTACATTTGATGATTCCAAAAAGCAGTGATTATGCTAAAGGTAGAGAGCAGAGCTTTGCCCTTTCCTAACAGCTCACACTGAAACATAAAAGCATTTCCAAGTAGATCTTAAAAATATGCATAATTGTACAAAAGCAGCAATTGTACCAAACTCTACAGTAGTTTGCACAGAAATAAGAAAGGAAGAATTTGATAGGACAAAAAACTTCAAAAACTTTCCAAAACTTCAGCTAAATATTTTTGCAACTTTTGATGTAGACCTGTCTATGATCCTGCATACTTTTATTGCCTCTAGTGGCATCAATTCCACCCAAAACAAACAATTCTGAAGGCAGCAGAGAAAAATCAAGCTTGTTCCATGCTGTACATCTATGTATAGAGCAAAAGAACCTTCATAACATATGGGATTGTATATTCTTACCATTCTGAATTGCCTTTTATTTATAAATAAGGAAAAAACACCAACTGTTACCATCTAATGGGGAAAACTAAGAATCAGTACTGTATTCCCTTCTCTCCATTCTCACTACCGATTGTGTCACTTCTCTGTTTCCTAATTTCCTCATCTGTGTAATAGGAATGACAGGATTTACTTGTTTTGAAGAGGACTTGTAGGATAACTTAGTATTAAATCCTTTGCAGTGCTTCAAAACTCATTTGACTTTCACTGTCTTTTTTAGGTCCTTTAATGGTCATAGTAGAATATTGCAAATACGGAAATCTGTCCAACTATCTAAGAGGAAAACGAGGAGATTTCATCGCATACAAGGTAAAAAAAATGACAGGCTTCTCATAGTCACAAGGCAGAGAATTAACCACCCCTGACCACGAGATGCATTTTTTTCCTGCGTTGGCACTGAGACAGTTTGGTATTTATATAGGCACTTTATTTTCTCACCACATTTCAATTCGTAGGTGCAAGAAAAGGAAACTTCTTTCCCTGTAGGATCTCACTCCCATACTCTTCTTTTCTAGCACCTACTAAAGAATTAGTTGTGAATACCCAAGCACTCCAGTGCATTTGAGAGAGAGTGGGAACTACTCGTGACATACTACCCAGCACAAGGCAGGCAACAAAGTAGTAGTGAAAAACTGGTATTAACTGAGCTAGGAGAAGGTGAACCCTCCCAAAATACACGTCCAGTTTGGGGATTTTTGTTTCTATGCCCACTCTACCCCAGCTACTGAAAGCAGCTCAGCCTTCCATCATCTCATTCCCACCTTCTGTGTTCTCCCTTCTCCTGTGCCAACCTAAAACTCTGTGCTGTATGCAGCAAACTGGATCACCAACATGGTCTGCATTAAAACTAACCAAATGGGTTTGGTTTCCCAACGGTTGTCTGCATCCACACAAACTTTTGCGCTAGCACAAACTGGGCTAGGATATGGGGAACGACACGGAAATCAGCAATGGGGAGAGGATGGCACTACCTCCTCACTGTGGAAAGACAGCATCAAAAGGGTGCTCTGACCTAAGCCCTGCCAGAAACTGGATTATTTTCCTGGATTATATTATTAATTCTATTATTATTATTATTATTATTATTAT